ATTTTGTTGGCAAGCTGACGTGCTAGCGAGTCAGGCAGCGGTCTCGTTCTTCCCACGTTGCGAAAAAGCCAAAACCTGCTTGCTCATCGCTTATGTGCTAATCTGAAGCCTCCGTGCAATTCACGTTGTAGCAGCGCAATCGAACTAGTCGTTCTTTTGAACAAACTATTGCCATTGTCTCTTTGTTGGTGTTTTATTCATGCCCCTGAGCAATAGGTCAAGGTGATAACCCCAGAAAAGCATTTAGTTCTCTGCACTCATCTTGTTCTGTAAAAGAACTACCCAAAACCGAGTCACATGTGCATTCATAAGCAGTCTCCTTTTTGAAGCGCGCGATGAGCAGGTGCTCTATGTGGGCTACCTCTGTAAATTGTTCATAGAATGAAAGAATGAACCTGTAGCTTTTGGAGTGTTCATCAGACTTCGCACAATGGCGCCCATGCTCGGCTGACTGGTCACTCCGCTCATGCTGTCGATCGCCGCGTCAACACCGTCGGCGCCTGCCTTCAGAAAGCAAATCGAATCACTTTTTATCATTTCTTTCATAAGATTTGTTTTTTTGTTTTATGTTTGTTGTTTATTCATGTTTTATATCCAGTACAGAAGGAACCAATTTGTACTGATGTCTACCTCTATTGCTGCAAGCATGGAAGCAACACCAGTTCCAGCCATGTCATGGGTGTGCACCTGTATTGGGAGATCTGGATGCCTAAAACAATTGTTCTGCTTCCGAAACGAGGTGATGTAAACGAAAGCCCGCGAGATCGTTCACTAACTTGTCTCGTATGCTTCCGACTAAAAGGCGAGCTGCTAATGGATGTAGAACTCCAGCCATGTCTTTGATTGCTGAATACTCAGATTATCGTACTGCCAGCAGGAATAAAAAATGGCGGAGAACACAGCCTCGTCATTTTGTGCCGCGGTAAGAACTGTTTCTAATCATAACCTTATTAGTGGCATTTTGGTATATGGCACGTACAATTGATTTCAAATCGCGTACGGATTCTGCATGATTCTATCTCGGAGGACGAATTCACGATTAGAATGAAGGTCGAAGAAGGAGTAATTCACCTAGTTGAGGGACCCGCGGACCTCCTAAGGGTGCGGACTGAAGCGCAATTGGCACCGAAGGAGTTGACCTCGGCGACCTATTAAGGCTCAATCTTGGCGCGGTGGGCCAGTGCACGCCCACCGATCATCTGATCACTCGCCGCAGGTCTATACGTGGCGAGTGATTAGATAGCTGAGAGAGCGTAGTGTTGAAGAGGGCACAGCGATGAGAGTCGCATCAATGCTCAAATCAACGGGCAAGGAAGGGGTCCCATTTCTCGGGTTCTGGGCCGTTTCTCATGGTTTTTCCTTCTTTCGTGTACCACTCACCATCCTAAGTTAATTTGAAATGGGTTGCCTTTCCAGCGTGAATTCGTCCTTTAAATGGTTCGAGACCTATGTTTACGATATGTATGAAAATGGGAAGAATTGCCATTGTTTTGCCGAACTATTAAGGATTTACTATACTGCCCACCTCAACAACTATTAGCAAGTTGTTGGCCGGGACTCTTCACTTGTCTCTGTGAACAATCTTTCCGGACCTGTCACGTCTTGCACCAATATTTCACCCGGTTTTATCGCATCTAAATACAATTATAAGGACGTCTTCAAACCTTCGGTTTCTACTCGAACTTGAAGGTTGATTTTCCCACGACGCTCCCATTCGCCCTTACCAGGAAAGGCATTCAACATCCCATGGAACTTTGGAATGAGACCCAGAAATGTTCATAGAGCTTCAAACGCTGACTATAAATATGGAAACTAAACTGCAAGATGTAATTATCAAGGAAGTTGTGAGCAGTCGAAGTTGGCCGAAAATAAAGCGTTACGTATTATTCCGTGCTTGCCTTCAGGCCTTCAAAGCTGCCGTGGAGTAGTGGAGCACTCGAAATTTGCACTCCAATGGAAGGAGAACTTACCTCACGAGTGAACAGCAAGGCACTTACCTCTACTCCACGGCGACTTAGAAAGCCCGGAGAGTAGCGCGATTTTTATGTAGCGCTTCACCTCCAGCCAACATGGACTGCTCACAATTTCACAATGGGAGGTCCATTTTGCAGCTTTGGCCTCCATTTTTGTAACCAGCGTTCAAAGGCTCTATCGAATCTGGGTCTCCATTCAAAGTTCCATAGAAAACTGAACAGGCTTTCCTGGTTAGCTCCATTCCTTCGCTTGGCTTGCCCACGTCCCTAATCGTGCTCACAAAGTATGTTGTCGAAAGATTTTTGCGGAGATTGATTTTCATGCATGAAAAGATGAACACTGCGACTCGTGATGACACATGACGCAATTATGCTTGGAAGGATGTCACCAAAATTTTGTGTGCGATTTTTTTTCCAAAGAACGAACTCGGAGGGTTCGGATGATTGGCCTGTAATGAAGTGCAGCTCCGAAGCACAGCGCCACACTTATAACCATTGCGCTATTCCTGGCAGATAGCAAAGAAGACCACTCTGCACCTTCACCCCTATACTGAAAATCATGAACAAATCTAAAAAGTAACAAACAAATAGATCAGAAGGACTTTATCGGCATCAACGTACCTAAGATGTGAATCCCAGCTTTTACTAGCTCATCAACCAAATCCATATAGTACTTCAAATTATATCGTTCCCTGTTCTTATCAGTGATGTCACCGGTATAAGCGATAGCAGCCTCGACGACTCCGCCAGCCTGGAAAGGTACTGGCTTGGAGGAGGACGCAACACACTTGCACTTATGTGGCTCGCTCTTAAATTCAGGGTTGAAAAGAGGAGAGCAATTGCTCAGATATGATGGTGCAGGGGTTAAATGACTCGTGAGTGGAGAAAAGTGCAGAAATTTTCTTCTTTTTTCTCTTTTCTTTCTGCGGTAAGCTGGACGTGTGGTATATCGAGAAGTTTCCAAGCGTTTTTAGGCATTCGAGGACAACAGACCCATCAAAGCTTCAGGCACTACGAACAGTTTACTATGACGAAACCTGCCCAATGCGAAAGATTGATTGACTAACATAAGTCGCGTAGGTTTCAAGAGGAGTCGGTATGGAGATGCACATCTTCAACTTTGTTCACCTGAAGTTTTGATGGGTTTCTCGTCCTCGAAGACTTGAAAACGCTTGGAGATGAAGGCATGGTACGGGATCGGGCACGCTCACAGGTTTCGGTCGTTGGAGAGATGATGTTGTTCCCCTTTGCTGCTTGAAAATGCGCTACGAAGACGCTAAAAATCGCCCGATCCGCAATCTACACCATCGTCCGCAAGCCTCGCTTCCACTGTTGGCGCTGCGTGAAGGGCGCATTCACAGTTACGGCAGTGGCAGTCAGCCGGTTGACATGAAGCAAGTGGAGCTAGGTAACCGTGAAGTTCGTCCAAGTGCGCTCGTTCTCCATCCCAAGGTGGAATGTGGCTGAAAGGAAGGAGGGCTTAATCGAAACGTAATCGTGGATTTCTTTAGCTTTCTTTTTCTTTTCCTCATCTCTTCCCACCAGCAGCTTCACTAATGAAGCCTACTACACACTCATTTTATTCCGGGGGTTGCCTTTAACAACATTTAACAAAACCAACGCTTGAAAAGGTCTCACCTTTCCTACGGCTTCAATGCCACAGATAAGATTTGGTAAATAGTTGAAGCAGTCCATTATGCGAAAGATATCCATTCCTGTTCGAACGGCCAGCTTACAGAATCTGAATAGCACCGTTGAAAACTAACAAAAGCGCAAGGCCGCTTCGATCCCACGCCCCATACTGGTAGCGCTGTCCACGCTTTAACAAATATTTCCGACGTGAGTGTGCTAAGGCACCGTTAGGTATTCTCGCCCGGGACTTCGAAGTTTCAGTCAAGAAGCTTTCAACTTCTCGTGCCCAAATCACCGATCCACCAGCATATTTCTTAAGAAAGTGTTTAAAGAAAGATCAACAAATTCAAATGAATTGAAAAATGAGAAAAATGAAAGCAGACGATCCCATAAATGATGCTCGAAACACCCCTTTCGGGCTATACGTACAGTACCTCCGAAGTAAATGCACCTGTAAGAAGCATGACGCTGTCCTGGTTTGAACCGAAATGACCGATGCTCGGACTTTGGCTGCGTAACTTTAGCTTGGCATTCTTTTGGGTTGTTCCATAAATGCTGTCTGATTTTTTGATTGAAATCAAATTTCTTCAATTCGAATCAGTGTGATTGGGATGCACGGCAATATGTCAAGGAATGCATCTAGACCAAGCAGGGACGTTTCGGAAGGTCAACAGCACGGTAGTACTAAGTGGCCTGAAAGTAGATCAATATGATAACGAACGTGTGCTCTCGGTCTTAAATAGGACGCTGTTGCAAGTAGGGCAGTAATGAAGATCAGCGCTGTAATAGGCTGCTAGTGATCGTGGTTCGGTCGCAATGGCAAAGACAATACGAGCTGTGAAAAGCAGTCTCTTCCTTGGCTTCACGCGCTTTCGATAGAGTCCCTTACGCCATGAATTTGAAGTGGGCGAGGACGCTACCACCTGAGTCTTGCAGCAGGCACTTGGACACAGCCGATCCACCATCGCTCACTATCTGATTGAAAACGGCTGGAGCAGTACGAAGGGTCGATGGGAATCACGTGTACCACCAGTCCATGATCGAGAAGCACGTCTGACCATCTGCGGAAGGATTTTCTTATGGCCTCTTGAACGGGATTTTTCCTAGCCGATCACATATAGAGGAGTCATGAGTCCACTGTGACAACAACACGCAGCACGCCTGATGGCTACCTCGCAGCCAAGACTCACCAGCTCAATCAAAGCCCAAACCTATGTAAGAATGATGGTGCTCTTGATTTGTTAGATTGAGTAGGTCCTCGTTTTCATGATCACTTTGCTATATGTAGACAAGTATTGCGAATGCCATCGTGGAACAGCTGATGGGGTTGCTGCAGTAGTGGGAGAGAACCGTCCTAAACGTCCCAAAATCTCCCTTTCTCCGAATAGACGCTCGACCTCACATTGCAAAGATAACTCGCTACGTTCTGAGGGAAACTGGCTGGACCACGATACCATGTCCATCGTATAGCCCTGGCATCACTCCATCGGGCTATCCCCTTCACAGTGCCTTGAGCAGCAGCGGCGAGAGAAAAAAGTCACTAAATACAACCACTCCAAAAACGACCTTGCTGAATTCTTCAGCTCAGCTCTTCTCCAATTCTAGGGAGAGCATCCAAAAGTTCCCTGGCGAATTTATGCATATTTGGACTTATAATAATTTTTTGATTTTTTTATGGGAGTTTTGATCAGTTGGCTTTAGGGAAAGACGAAGCTTGAAGAGAAGAAAGTGTCGAAATTTGGACAGGAATGTGGAACAACCAAATGTTATATGCAGTAGACAACGAACTCGTTGATGACGTTATCG